ATTTTATAAGTTTTATGAAAGTTTCTTAAAATATACATAAACATAATTAATTAACGTTAATTGTCTAAATCAAGCCGTTTTAAAATATGGTTAAAACAGCACCTTTTTTGGGCTCTAAAGTTGTCGAACCCTCTTATAAGTTCATTTCGATTTGTTTATATTCTGTTATAATGTAGAACTGTAAAAAATTGATCCGTAAATAATGATTGTTGTTATGATATTTATTTTAAAAATTACAATATAATGATTTTTCTCTGAGCAAAAAAATTAAAATCAGAAAATAAACATTCTATCGAAAAATAAAAATCAAAAAATAATCATTATTCTCTGAGTAAAAAAATAAGAATTATGAATTGTCATTATATTTTATTTCAATTTTTTTTTCGCTCAAAAATATGATTTCGCTCAGGGTTAGATTTTTTTATATTTTACTGCATATCTTCTTAGACTGCATGTACCATTCGGGTACCATTAAGTACCTTGATTTTTTAACTATCACCCCTTCCTACCACTAAAAGATGGGAAAACTAAATATAACGCTCCTATAACTCATAGAAACCCATTTAACTATGAAAGATTCTTTATTTCTTATTGATTTATCTACCTTTATCTATTATTGATTAACAGAGCATACCATTCTGCTTTAGCATAATTTGTGTCTTTAGAATGGTTCTGTGTCTTTAAAAATCGAAAAACTTAAATTGCATTGATGTTACAATGATAATCTTGTAATCGTCAACCCTATGAATCAGGGATATCAGAATTGTACAGGGATTACAATGTTGGGCCAGCTAAGGTCCTCTTTTAAGGGAAGCTTTTGATTAGAACAGAGGTCGGCACTGCCCTATCTCGGGGGCATAGGAAATTTCTCTGCCCGAGCTCTGCCACACACACACAGTATACATGTGTGAAACGTCATGCTCACAGCCTACTTTCTGCTATACGTTACTAACATTAATGCGGTAAAATCATATCAATGTATTGTGGTGCCGACCACTGGATTAGAAGTAAAAGCTGTGGCGTCAGAATCGTCTTTAGCTTGCAAAACAAACCGTTGTACCATACCCGATGAAACGCTTGCCTAATGTCCATAAAGACAGCTACACCGTACATTTTGCTCTCCATAGCTTCCAGAGCGAAGTCAACCACACGATGTAGCTGTTCGAGTGTACTGTGACCCATTCGGAAGTTAAACTGCTACTTGGAATGGCAAATCATACACTTTCCAGTTTAAGGATCAAATCCTGTATAACGACTGCGGCTTTCCAGGTTTGAGTATTATTGTGGGGGAAGCAGATTTCCATGCGATTGGGAAATAGCTCAACCTTAGCTTTCACCATCACCGCCTTGCCGTCCAATTCCCAGTTTGGACTGTAGCTACTCGTCGTCCTCGGACCCTAATAAAAGCCTAAAAGTTCTATTCCAAAATATATCGGGAATGAGAACCAAGACCCGGATGGTATTCCTCAATTCTTCTGCCTGCGATTTTGATGTAATCATCCTTGTGGAAACGTGGCTCAATGACAAATTCAGCTCCTCTGAGTTCTTCGAGGCTAATTTGTACCATGTATTTCGAAAGGACCGAGATGCATTCAGTACCCAGTGTGGGCGAGGTGGAAGTGTGATCATCGTTATCCGTCGATCTCTTCAGGCTACACCACTGCCCCTTCCGGTGGCCGACCCTTTACTGGATCAGCTTGCGGTTTCAATCCAGGGCGTCCATGGCCCGTTCGTCATCATTGCATCATACATCCCTCCGAACAGCGCATTTAGTATATATCATGCGCATATGGAAAACATCACTAGTGTCTCTGCTAGAACGTCGGACCCTACCGCCTTGATGGTAGCTGGCGATTTCAACCTGAGTTCCATTGTCTGGTCTTGGGACCCGGAATCTCCCTGCATGCTACCTAGTAACGTTCACCAGAGTCATGAAATTGTAGTTTTAGATGATATTTTAAGTCTGGGCCTCTCCCAAGTAAATAATATTTTTAATGATTTATCCAAAATTCTTGATCTTATATTTTTAAATAATTTGGTTAATAGTAAAGTAGAATTATGCAATGTACCATTAAGTCCTTGTGATATGCACCACAAGCCGTTGGTAATTAATATTGAGTTTTATAGTTTTTTGCCTTCTGCTTCCCCCATTCCATATTATCATCTGAATGATACTAACTTGTCACCTTTTAACGCCTCTATTTCAGCCTTTGATTGGGTTTCCCTTTTTTCGGATGGCTCAATCGATGATTGTTATACTAAGTTCTTGGTTGCCCTTTTTAATATTATTGATACTTATGCCCCTGTGAGGTATACAAAAGGTTTGAAAAACTTAAAGAATAGAAGGGATAAGAACTAAAAACGATTTATAATGACAGGTGAGACTCGAGCAGGAGAGCTGTACGGGCAATTTAAGCGGGAATTTGATTTCCTTGATAAGTTCCTCTACAATCAGTATATATCCGATGTCGAAGCTAGCCTTCGATCCAATCCTAAAGCTTTTTGGCGGTTTGTTAATAGCAAAAAGTCAAAATCGGACATACCTTACTCCATATGTTATGGTAATTTAGCAGCCGACTCGGATCAGGGCGTTTCTGATCTTTTTGCAAAATACTTTGCCTCTTCTTGGAGCCGAAGGTTCCTTGGAGTGATCATGAAACTCTTCTTAGCATTGAGCCTTTTCTTAATGTGAGTAACATGGACGTTTTGGACGGTGACCTAGTTGAAGCCACTAGACATTTGACCGAGTCGCTCACACCTGACGTGGACGGTATCTCCCCATTCTTTCTTAAGAGGAGTATCGCTTCTCTTTCTACTCCCCTTAAACTGCTGTTCTCCTTTTCGCTCTCTTCTGGTAGATTCCTTCTATAACGCCTATTCACAAAGGTGGCAGTAGGTGCGATGTTACCAACTATCGACCTATAGCCAAAATTTGCAACGTCGCTAAGATATTGGAGCGGATAGTAACTAAAACATTGACTTTTCTGGCTCGCAATTTCATATCCCCCAACCAGCATGGTTTTCTGCCTGGGAGGTCCACTACCACTAATTTAGCTGTCTTCTCTAAGCACTGCCTTGAAGCTTTTGAAAACCGATTTCAGGTTGATGCCATTTACACCGACTTCTCCAAAGCCTTCGACAAAGTGTGTCATGCTGCCCTTCTGGCCAAATTATATAAATTAGGTATTCATTCCTGCCTATTAAGTTGGTTCGAGTCTTATCTGGCTGACCGACCTTGCCAAATTTCTATTGGAGACGCTATCTCAAGTCCATTTGTCCCCTCCTCTGGTCTTCCACAAGGCAGCTCTCTTGAACCTCTTCTATTTATCATTTTCATTAATGACATCTCGTCATGCTTTCGTCATTCGCACTTTTTAATGTATGCGGATGACCTTAAAATCTATAAAGCGATTGGCTGCATTAATTACTGCATTAATTAGTTACTTGTTACAGGAGGATATATCCAGAGTTTACTCATGGTGCTCCCGCAATCTTCTTCCATTAAACTTATCTAAGTGTATGTCTACCCGTTACAGTAGGCGGTCTCTTGAAATCTGTACGGGTTATTCCATCAATAATTATAATTTGTCAACTAAAGAAGAGGTGTTAGACCTTGGTGTCTTATTGGACAGCAAATTTAAATTTTCTGGTCACTTAGACTATATTTTACCTAAAGCGTATGCTATGCTGGGCATTGTTAAGAGGCACGTGAACCAGTTCAAAAGTCCATACTCGAGCCTCAGCGTCTATGCTGCATTCATTCGGTCGAGGCTAGAATATGCCTCAATCATTTGGAATCCGGATTGCAAAGTTCGTTCCAACAGAATTGAGCGACTCCAGAAAAAATTTTTTAAATTTGCACTTCTGCCTCTAAGGTTTCAGGATCCTGTTCCTTCATACCAGAGCCGTTGCCTTCTTCTAAATGTTTGCACGTTGGAGGATCGGCGTAAACTGGCAGCGTTAACTTTTTTGAATAATTTAATCGTTGATAACATTGATTGTCCTTTTTTGTTGGGACTCGTTAATTTTAATGTTCCTCAAAGGGATCTTCGTACCTTTGCCCCCTTTCGGGTCAAGTGTCATAGAGCCAATTATCTTTTAAATGAGCCGATAGAGCGGGCTCTTTCTTATTTTAATTCCTTGCCGCCTAGCCTCCGAATTGAGTGGGGCTCTGATAAGGGTGTGTTAAAACGCAAGTTAATTAGGCATTTATTAAGTTTTTGTTAGTATTATTTATTAGTTGTAAGTTGTTATTATGTAGCCATGTAAGGATTTGTCCGTTGGCGAAATTAATAAATAAATTAAAACGCTGTTAAATGAAAGAACAATAATTGTCATTTAGAAGGTCTTAGCTTAAAGTGTTTTTTTTTTTTTATTTTTCCGATCTGGGCCACGACCTCAGCGAAGGTTTCTAAATTTCTCGGAAGCTCCATTTGAAAAGGTCTATCCAGAACCATTTAAACGACAATCTGGTTTCCTATAAGAGTTAATTAAAAAGGCTTGAACTTGTCTTCTAGCCTGTTCGCAAAGATGTCGGCCTTTTGCTGACTTGAGCAACACCATCCACCACCTGGTTTTCGGATCGGTGCCTTCGTGAGATTGGACGAAGCATCAGGCATTTTCCAGCGCCTGATCGAACTGGTCGTGCTTGTTCTTCTCCAGCAACATTTGTTAAGACGATTTCAGAGTCTTTTGTAGACTCTGTAAAAGCGTATGTCACCTGTTCTTGTGTTATCACGACCAGGTCTTCTTATTAAGTTCAATGAGAATTTAAGCGTTTATCGGAACAAAAGTACAATTGTTTTGGTTAGTTTAAATTTGCCTCGGTATCGCAGCCATGTGTACATATTTTCTCGAACTTTTATATGCTTTGGATCCTACAGTTTTTTTCTTGCTAGAGTAAATTTATTTGGCGTAGAATATATATTTGATTTTGTTTGATGTTTAATATATATAACCGTTGAAAACAAAAACGTATATTTTTCACAACAAATACTTACATCCATGTGGGTACCCCTTGTAATCCTGTTTCACTATAAGCCTTTGGTAAGAATATTGATGAAGTCCAAAACCAAAATAAAAAAACGAATTCCTTTAAAGGAAACATTTTTAGACAAACAAGATCAAAGAACAAACTTTTTTTGTTCAGGTGGCAAAAAATGTTAAAAATAATATTCCGTAGTTTCAATAATATTTATTTTGACTATGTGCGCCTCATAACATTTACATGTACAATTTTTTTTTTTTTTTGATTTTTAATGCGTCTTCCGGTTAAAGCTGCTTTAATTCCTTGAAGTGAGCTGAAAATAAATAAATCAAAAGTTAATTGCTTTTTAAGAATTCATATACTAATAAAAAAAATTTGTATCAAGCTCAATCATTTATTTTATAACTGGCATAAGACAGAACGATGTAATAAGACAGATAAAATTGCGATAGGGTATTATTCAGGCAGTCTCCGGTGTTTACCGTTACCAAGTAAATTTTTACAACCAAAGTTTTCTGTGAATTCAACCGAGATTTGTTTTCTGCAAAAAACTTTTTCTAGTGGAGTTGTCACAGTCGAACCCTTCGCATTCAACGTTTTTCTATTCTATGTTCCCACCTTACCTTAAACAGCTTTGACTTCAATTTAAATAAATTATCACATTTCTTTAAACCATTATAGATTGGATCGATGGAAAAAAAAATATAAAACAAGGCGTCTCAATCACTCCACACATTCCGTTTCATTACCTCAACATTTTTTGCCATCAAAGTAACCCATATGTCAAACCCGATATACAAACCCTAAAAGCAGAGACTCCAAAAAATAATTATGAAAATGTATTTGATATATGATATACATATATAATAATTATGAGTTTGAATTAGAAAAAAAATTTTATTTTCGATTTTAAATATAAACAAGAAAGCAAAGCTATCTTCGGGCGGAGCAATTGCAATTGCAAAGCACAGGCTATTAAAATATTAAGTTTTGTTAACAAAGTTTGAGAGCCTAGAATTAAAAATCTAAACAATATAACAACTTTTTTTTTAATGAATACCAATCTGTGTGGTTTGTATTATATGTTTGTGATCGTCATTTGTAGAATAAAACCGTGTTGTCCCCGTAAGCGAGCAAAAATGTAAGTAGCCTTGCCACTCCATATTTTGGATGAAGTCTCATGTTCCATAAGGGATTTAAAGTGAGTCTAGAAGAGTCCATCAACGAAACCTATTGTGTGTTTTAGAGTATTAAATTCTTGTTCGAATGAATGTAATTTTAAATACCACTTTTTCCGATTATGCGACAATTTTTATTTTTAGGACATAACCTTAATTTGGCAAACACAGAGTTGTTTAAAGTGGTTCGAAGCAAAGAGAAAAGTCGCAAAGGAGTATGTTGTCTTTCATTTTATTAAAGATTCCATCTCAGGAGTGAATTTTGAAGAGTACAGCGATATTTTTGACCAAGCGAGTAAAAAAATTTGCTACCGCTTGACGCAAATTTGGAGGAGGTGCTCATTAATCTTAAGTCAGTAGCGCCGGAATCATGCAGTTTGGCTGAATTCTAAAACTCTTATAAATTTTCCGAAAACCAAGAAGCCAGTAGGACAACACTGCCTATTCATGCGAAGGGCAATGATCCGATCATTTCGCTAGTGAAGTTAGATAGAAGAATATAGGGACACAAAAAAATGTGTCTTCCATTAGAGGTTGTGGACCTATTAGAGGACTCATCAAATCCCGATGGCACCACGGCGGGTGAGGATGAAAGCTCCTTTGATATTGTGCATTTTGAACATCAATATAATATTGAGTTGGGGAACGAAGAGCTGGACTTTTTCTAAGAGGTTTGTAGGGAGAATATATGTCTTCTATACATTATTAATTGTCTTTTTTTAGATGGATTTTCTTCTTAAAACTGTAATACGTTGTTAAAGGCGTGTCGCAGAACTAGTTAAGTACTCTAAAAATCTGCAGAAATTTACATTGGCTAAGAAAAAAAAGGGTGGTGCCACGCCCTCTATTTTTCTATTGGTAAAAGATATTGGTCAATATTACCCCATGAAAAAAAAAACAGAAGTCAAATATCTTGCTCCGATCTTGAGTTATTAATTTTTGTCACAAAAACTGGTCAAATTCCCCATAGTGCACCGCTTCACCAATGAGACCCTTTATGCTTGGTATTTTATCTCTAAAAACCCTGTTAAACATCAGTTCCGTGGGGGGTGGTGCCATGTGAGGTGACGTTGTACATTAGCACGGTTTTTACCGGTGATAGACTCTTACTTGCGAAACATATTATTGAGTCCATATTGCCCCTCGTCAAACTGTAGCAATATGGACTCTAATGCCACTGGGTTAGCGTCCGCAATTGGGCATGTCTTATCGTGTAAGTTGAAATATCGGCACTTTGGCAATTTGCGTCTTCAATTTTTGGAAAGCTTCTTCTTGTTCGTCGCCCCAAAAAAATACTTCACGACTCTTTAGAAGCTCGAGCACAAACAGCCCAATGTAGGTTACTAAGCCCAGGAAACTGCGTACTTCTACCTTATTCTTGGGTCGACTTCAATACCCAATGGGGTATTACCCATGTCCGACAAGATGTGGCCCAAAAGTGTAAATTTCTGAGTTCTTACCACGCATTTATTGCACGTTGTTGGCTCGAAATATGCTCTTAACATCCTCCAGCTACTTATCATGTTCCCCCAAGTTATTCCCAAATACTATGACATCGTCGATGTAATTAAATGCGTTTGGGCAATGCAATTACAATTCTTCCGCTAATCTTTGTTATCGCATAACCGCTAAAAAATCTCTAGAGCTGAGTTTATCCCAAACATTAAACACTTGTAGCAGAACAGGCCACGGTGTATAATAAATGTGGTGAAAAAAGCATATTATCAGTTGGAGCTGGATGAGACTCCAACTGATAATATGCTTTTTTTTAAGTCCAGCCGAAAAATACATTTGGCTTCCTTAAGTTTCGTCATGAACGTATCGAAAGTTGCCAACGGATAATTTTCGCACCGTATGGCTTTGGCCCGTCGCTTATCAAGACATGTCACCATCGTCCTTAAAAGCAGTTACGACTGGAGAAATCCAAGAGCTTGGTCCCAACACGGGTTCAACGATATTCATATTTAACGCCACATCGAGTTTATCAGTAATTTTGCTTTTCATCGCTGTTGGTTCTCGTCGCATGGGTTGTTGTACCGGGATTACAGACTCGTCAACGGAGAGCTTAACTATCAAATTGTGCCATTTGTGAAATGGAACACCCTTCTCAACTCGATTTACGTCTAAACCAAGATTTAGAACGTTGAGTTCAATGGCGGTGTCGCGTCCCAACAGTGATTATTTATCCTTTTCGATTAAGTAAAACTTAGCAATCAGTTCTGAATTATTCTGCAAAGAAATCGGGGCTTCAAGAACCTGCAGCGCCTTGAGTAAACGTAAGCGCGAAACTAAGATTCCACCAGAAGGTTAAACATTATTGCTTTTGCTCCACAAAGTTTCTGCCAATATGACTGGCTTATCAGGTTGTATTTCAAGCCTGAGTCAATAATCATATCGACTGTATAGCCCCCTATTTTGCAAGGGATTTCTACCTCCTGTAGTGACTGATCTCCTACTCGCAATGGACCAGTATCCTTGGAGCTAACCGTCCTAATGCCAATATTACCACATATAGCCTTTATTGTCGAATTTTCAGTGCGTCTTCGTTTTTTCTTTGCGTCTTTGCGAATTGGCCAATTTAATCGCATTTCCTGCATTTCATTTTTCTGGCCGGACAGTCCAAACCATGATACAATTATACAAGGTAGTAATTTTTTGACAGTTTGAAATTAAGGGACCAAACCCGAACGATATGTCAGTGGAATGGACTACCTTTTATAATTGTATCATGGTCCAAACTGTTTTCTCTGTGTCTTTTCTTTCCGCATCTACCGCATTCGGGATCCACACTTCGCTGTACTATTTTGATAATGCTGATTGGCTTGTCCTAAGGAGTCATAGACTGCGTCTGTATGTTCACCAGCTCGTCTATATAACCTTTTCCTATAAGCAGATCTCCTCCATTTGGTTGCCCAGCCAAATTGGCCGCAGCGCTGCCGGCACATTGACAGTGTGACCCTTCTCAAATTTTTTAGAAGCTCTCTCGTTTGCTCTCATTTTGACTAATTTGACAGCCCAAACTTAAAAATCAAAATGTTTCCAATGAGAAATGTTTTCTTAGAAATTGGGTTGGAACAAGTTTTCTCCATAGAAAATAAAGGGTAAGGGAAGCGTAGTTTGTTAAAGAACTGTTGCTAGCAAAGCTTTCTTTTAAATAAAATACAATATTTTAGTGCACAATCCCGTTTTTGAATTAACGAAAAATGAAAAAAAATGCGCTTTTTTTTTCTCAGTGAATGCTCTGCCCTTTTTTTCTGCTACGCAAACACTCAAATTTTAAACAAGTCTGCGTTTTGCCCCCCACTGCTCTAAGCAGATGTCTTTCAGAAGCGGAGTGCAATTGCGGCGAAAATATTAGTTCAGCTTAGAGATGAGGGGTCGTTCTTCTTCTCCTCGTCAAAAAAATTATTGCCCCTGGAATGTTGTAATCTACGGCTTGAAGCTGAGACCCGCCGAAATGCAGGCGCTTTTCCTTTTCTTATAAGCTGAGGTGATCTCCTTTGTCCATTGACTGGCACAAAAATGGTTTGAGATCAGTCATGATTATATTGAACTGAAAAAAAAATCATAATAAAACTGAAAATAATAGCCTTCACAACCGAATGATTCTTGGTCAATTTTAAGCCATTTGCTCTTCCCAGGGATGTGAACAACCGAAAAAAACCCCAAAGACAGTTTTACCACAAAAAAAAAATTTAATTTCTTAAAAAAACAAATATAAAAAAAAGTGAAAACGTTCCTAAAAAAAAAAACATGAATCACCAAATATATATAAATAGGACACTACGCAATTACACATTTCGCCATTGTATTCGGATAAGACCCATCCTTCCTGGAGAAAAACCATATCTTTACCGGCATGCCATCCCTAAAATATGGATTTGTCGCTACTTTTACTTAAATTCGAATAAAAATTTTTAACGATTTCACTCCCTACCTTGTATACGTCGTAATTTTATATATTAATTTTCAGTATTTATTAATTATTATCAATGAACTATTATTCTAGATCAGAGGTCGGCACGGCCCTATCTCGGGGGCATAGGAAATTTCTCTGCCCGAGCTCTGCCACACACACACAGTATACATGTGTGAAACGTCATGCTCACAGCCTACTTTCTGCTATTCGTTACTAACACTAATGCGGTAAAATCATATCAATGTATTGGGGTGCCGACCACTGTTCTAGATTATTATAACTAAAAGTAAGGATAAATTAAGTTAAATGATATTCCATAATTTTGGATTTAGTTAAATCTAGGGATAGTATAGTAGATAGTAGATAGTATAGCACAAGTACGGCGCTCTTTTAAAGGAGGTAGGTTTAGTTTTTTTAACGCAAATAGCAGAAACTGCTTTTGGACAGATTCAATCCTCCTTTGGTGAACAAAGTATTGCGGACTCCAAACGCTAGAACAGTATTCCAAGATAGGACGAACCAACGATACGTATAGAGTTTTAGTTGTGAAAGGATCATCAAATTCTTTAGACCAACGTTTGATAAAAGCTAGCACACCTCTTGCCTTATTAACTGTTAGTGATATGTGTTCGTTGAAGGACAACTTGTTGTCAAAAGTGACTCCAAGATCGTTAATTAGGGAAACACGATAGTTCGATAGATAAGAGGTCAACCACTGTACTATATGTGGAAAAAACCCCATAAGACACAGCTTATGAAGGAGGAGATGGTGGTTCACAGAGTCAAACGCTTTACTAAAGTCAGTGTATACCACATCAGTTTGCATGCGGCTCAGAAATCCTCTTTGGATAAACGAAGTGAATTCAAGAAGGTTAGTTGTGGTAGAGCGATGCTTGACAAAACCATGCTGTGAAGTGGAAATAATGCTTTTACAAAAATGTTGCAGGTGGAAAGTAACCAGTTTCTCAAGTTCAGGACAGTTCAGTTCATTGTCAGGACCAGCAGAGAATGATATATCTATTGTTGAAAGAGCTTCGAACAGATCCTGAATTCGAAATTTTGAAAAGTAAATGTTTGTATGTGGTAATTTATAAGGATAAGAAGAAGAATCGGACGAATAAGTGGTTTGAAAAAATGACGCAAAGAGATTAGCAATACCTTGCTCAGAAGAATGTGAAATATTTTTATATGATAGGGACGGAGGAAAAAGATTTGATTTACGTTTCATATTGACAAAAGAATAGAAGGAGCTAGGATCATTACGAAAATTTACCTTACAATTCATAATATACTGCTTATAAAGTTGATCGTTGAGAATAATAAACTGGTTGCGAACATAAAGAAAGTTTGACTGATGGCACATCGATCCTGACTTAAGAAACTTTTTGTAAGCTCTGGATTTCCTGTTCTTAAGACGAGAAAGGTGTTTATTATACCAAGGTGGTTTGGTAGACAGTGATACTGGGACTTCCGGAACAAATTTGTTCAAGGCCTTATGAATTATTTCGTAAAACGAATATAAGATATACCTCTTTAATAAATACTTTTTAATAATACTTAAATATAAAACACGAATTACCCTTATAACCAACCATGGCAACTTGAAAAAAATTAAAATTGAACAAGAAAGGAAAGCTAACTTCGAGCGGAGCCGAAGTTTATATACCCTTGCAGTTAAAACCGGATATATATCGCAAACATCGGATATAGTTGGTCGATCCTTATGATTACATCATAATAAAACCAATTAATTACAATAAAAAATCTAAAAAAAAAGTCCCAAGCTTCTATCTTCAAAAATACGAAAGTTGATATTTCTACCAAATACCATTTCCGATCGTTCAGTTATATGGCAGCTATAAGATATAGTCGGCCGATCCTTATGAAATTTGGCATGTCGTAATGTTTTACCAAAAAAAGCTCGTTTCAAATTTGAACTCTCTAACTCTAAAAACACCAAAGTTATACCATTTCCGATCAATCAGTTATATGGCAGCTATAGGATATAGTCGGCCGATCCCGGCCGTTCCGACTTATATACTGCGTGCAAAGGAAAGAAGGGTGTGTGCAAAGTTTCAAGTCGATAGCTTTAAAACTGAGAGACTAGTTCGCGTAGAAACACACAGACAGACACACGGACAGACGGACATGCTCATATCAACTCAAGAGGTGATCCTGATCAAGAATATATATACTTTATAGGGTCGGAGATGTCTCCTTCACTGCGTTGCACACTTTTGGACAAAATTATAATACCCTCTGCAAAAAAAAGTTTGGACAGAATTATTATACCCTCTGCAAGGGTATAAAAAGGAAAGCTAACTTCCGGCAGAGCCGATGTTTATATACACTTGCAGTTAAAACGGGATATACATATATCGCAAAAATCGGATATAGTTGGCCGATCCTTATGAGAATATTATAATAAAACAAATTTATTACAATACAAAATCTAGACCGACGGACAAGGTCATATAAACTCAGGAGGTTTATTCTGATCAAGCATACATATACTTTATATGGTCGGAGATGTCTCCTTCACTGCGTTGCATACTTTTGACCAAAATTATAATATGCTCTGCAAAGGTATAAAAATGTTTGTAAAAATAAGGTTTAAAATCAAACAAACCCGTTCAAAGTTATTTAAAAAATTCTTGTTGAATAACTTTTGAACGAATTGCCTGATTAGGAAGATTGGTTTTAATCGACCCACAGTCAAAATGTCTGCTTTAAAATATCTTTGCATTTGATCGGCAATTCTTCCGTTTGCCGCTAAGCGATAGCATATTCTTTTACTAGCATCCTCACAAGCTTTTATTTTGTTCTCTGATATATTAATATATTTATTTTAAATAAATCCATAATTGCCTTCTCCTTGGAAGGCAAGGAGAGTCAGTCTTCACTGACTTTCATACTACACACAATTCAGAGTTTTTGAATTTATGAATTATGAAATAAATCGATAATTGCCGTCTCCTTAGATGATTGAGTCTCCACTGACTTCCATACTGCACACAATTCAGAATTGTTGAATTTGAGGTTATGAGTTTTAAACTCAAATTCCAAAAAAGTGCATGAAAGTGTCAATTCTGGACCCAATTTCTACACCTTTTTAAAAACGAGATTTCTATGTAAATTTTTACTGTTGAGACGATTTACTTTAAAGTAAAGTACATATAACTATGAAGACCCCACAAAAACAAAAAACATAGTACAAACCCTCCTTATTATTATTCATAGCAAACAATTCATAAGTTTATTATTTTTTTTAGCAAAAATATAAGGTTGAAAATGACTATTCGATTTCCTTTTTTTTAACTTCACAAAAGTTGGGTCACTTCTGATCAATCACTTATATGGCAGCTATAGGATATAGTCGGCCGATCCTTATAAAATTTAACATGTATTATTTTGCTAAAAGTAGCATTCATACAAAATTTGACTCTCTAACTCTAAAAACACCGAAGTATACCATACCATACCAGTATACCATTTCCGATTAATCAGTTATATGGCAGCTATAGAATATTGTCGGCCGATCCCGGCCGTTCCGAATTATATACTGCGTGCAAAGGAAAGAAGGGTGTGTGCAAAGTTTCAAGTCGATAGCTTTAAAACTGAGAGACTAGTTCGCGTAGAAACCGACAGACGGAAATGCTCATATCAACTCAGGAGGTTATCCTGATCAAGAATATACTTTATAGGGTCGGAGATTTCTCCTTCACTGCTTTGCACACTTTTGACCAAAATTATAATACCCTTTGCAAGGGTATAACTTAACTAATTACAAAAAATTAAGTAAATAATGAGTTTTTTAAATAATTAAATAAATGTACAATACATAGACGAAAATTAAACTTTTGGATCTAATCAATAATATTAAAGAAAAGGTCATGACAATTGGGATATCAGTAAGGAATTTACAGTCCAATTATGTACATTCTCAGTGATCATGAACGTATTCAATTGAGCGGCAGGGTATGAACCACCTCCAAACCATGAATAATATGAAAACACATAAAAGTATATGTACATATATTTATGTATGTATACATATGATAATATGTACATTCAAATGTGCAAGTTGCATGTTGCATGTAAATGGTTTTTTTTTATTTAGAAACGGCTTAGTGGCTATATATGTATGTGTGTACATATATCAATTAATAAAAGTACGTGCCGGGACATTAATTTTTCCGAAAAATGTGTATGTATGTACATACATACATCCATATGTATCGATGGATGGAGAGGAATTTTTTTATTTTTATAAAAAAAAACGATTAAAATGTATAAATAGGATTTTAAAAACGCATCAGTACATACTAAACATGTACATAGTGCACAAACTGAACATGTACATGTAATTTTTACAACGATAACAGCTAAACAAAAATAGTGTATCCCGATAGCAAGGACGCACACGCGCACTAATCGCACTAATATATGTACGTAGGTATGTATATCCGTACATACATTACGTATTTACATACATAAAAGCTAATACTTAGAAATTATAAATATACTTATGTTTATTAGCATAAGTACGTTAAGGATAACCCAAAAAAAAATTCCGACTCCTTAATACATACATATGTATGTATGTAGATAAGTTCAGACATGTACATACATATGCTATAAACATATTCAATATATGAAAATACGTACTCATGCATGATTTTTTTATAAAGCTAGCTAGACGAAAACGGTTTTGTTTATTATGATATATTATTTTGACTTTAGTTTATTGAAACATAATTATTTTTATACACCTTAAGATATTTTCCAAATTACATTATTTAAATATGTACATATGTACATTCATGTTGTTTGTTTTTATACCACTTCTTAAGTATGTACATATCGTAGACTTTTTTTTCACAAAAATTTGAGTTTTTTGGAAAAACAATTATTTGTTTTTTGAATAAGTTAGATGTTTTTTGATCACTTCTAATTTAAATTTATACATGTACATATGTGTGTTGAACTTAAACGAAAACCGAACCGCGTCGAGTGCAATGTCGTCGAGTACGCTCTGCAATAAACCCACCGCCACGAAGTCCACCCTTATCAACAATTTGAAAATAACTGAAGAACTCGTTTGGCATTGAAGTCTTTCGTGTGCGGCCTTCGTCCATGCCTGATTCGTTGAATATTCGGGATTCTTCGGAAATGTTTGTAACTACCTACATTTTCTTATAATACTATAAAATACGAACGTTAATCATTATTTAAAAAAACGAAGTTTAGGATTTCAATGTTCCCTATGCTGGTTGATCTTATCTTATTAGAGTTGCAGTTTGACTTTATAAATGCGAAATCCAATAGAAAGTGTTTTAATTTTAAAGATTTTCACAGATATTAAGTTGAACTCAGTCTTTAATCTTCATAATTTGTTTAATTATATACATACATACTTATAACCTGATAATATACATATTAAATTCTTTAAATTGTATTCTTGAAAATTTAATGATAAACTGGTATGTACATAAATATATGAAGCATTATTTCTTTGGGACTAATATACAATAATTACAAAAATTATCAGCCAAGGATGTTAGCTTGCAAAGACGTGTATCCTCGCACTCATATATTAAATTGCTTTCCCTTTGTGTGATATTAATAGTCTAATATATGACTAGTATATGTATAAATACTTAGTAATTGAATATTTCCTGTAAGCATCTGCATAAAAAAACAACGATATATGTACGTATGAATAATCAACAGCTCAATTGGTGATTTGTTTAAAATATTTTTTTCTTTGTAAACAAATATTGCTTCAATATTCCTTGAAAAAATAAAAAGCTTATTACTATAAAAACACCAAAAACAAATAAGTATATCAGGCAGACTCTGGTGTTTACTTTAGAGCAGTGGGGGGCAAAACTAATGCATGTTTAAAATTTGAGTGTGTGCGTAGCAGAGAAAAACAATGAGAGCAGAGAATTCACTGAGCGAAAAAATTTAATTTTTCGTTTATTCAAAATTTTGAATTAAGAAATTGCTTTGCTAGCAACATTTCTTAAACAAATGAAAAACTACGCTTCCCTATCCATATTCTCATGAAGAAAACTTTTTCCAACCCAATTTCTCAGACAATTTTTCTCAGTGGAAACATTTTGATTTTTAAGTTTGGGCTGTCAAATAAGTCAAAATGAGAGCAATTGAGAGAGCTTCTAAAAAAATTGAGAGTTCTCACACTGTCAGTGTGCCGGCAGCGTTGCGGGAGAATTTTCCACCCTATGCACGTGTGCTATGGAAAATAAGAGTTTGCCCACCACTGCTTTAGAGGTGCAGAGAAATCGTATGACACTTCAATGTTTTAAAAAAATCGGTACAATCGATATTTTTTTCGATGTTGGGCACTACCAATGTTTAGTTCAAATAAATGTGGTCTAGGTGACAGATTAAGCAACAGATTAAACAAGCCGTTAATAGAAGCACAAAAAACACAAAAGTAGCAACCAGATGGAACAATACATACGAAATGGTTTAAAAAATTTCAAAGCTACATGACTATAACTGTGTTTATGCGATGCCGAATTTACGGTTTCATTTCACGATTTCAGCCGATTCGTGTGTGCATAAGCTTCTTGCATTGGATGTGCTTAGGATGTGCCAGGTTAGTCGTCTATAAAAGTGAATGCCAAGGTACGTTACTTCGTTAGCTTGAGGAATCTGCATACCGTTTAATGAAAGCGGAGGGCATGTTTGTCTATTAAGAGTAAACGTTATATGTTTACACTTTTGTTCCACTATTGTGAGATGATTAGCCAGTTGGGTTGTTGCCTGCGTTGGGCATCTGGAGCGACTAAGGTTAGCGGTATCATCGGCGAACGTTGACGTTGTTAGTTGTGCGCTCGTAGGAATATCCGCAGTATACAAAACATATACACACGTGCGCTTCCCTGTGGAACTCCAGCTTCGATGGTGTAGTCGCCCGAAGTAGCTGCGTTGCATCTTACTGAGAATACCCTATTATAGAGGTATGATTCCAGTAGCTTGTGGGTGTATGTTAGCAAATACGTTTTAATTTTGTGCATGAGTCCGATGAGCTACACTCGGCCGAAAGCTTGAGATACGTCGAGAAAAATAGTGCTACAGTATTCTTGCTCTTTGAAGGCGGAGCGTATTTCTGATGTTAATCTGTTCACTTGCTCGATGATTCCTTGGTTTCTTCGGAAGCCAAATTGGTGTGCCGGGATAATATTGCAAGCTTCCAGTTATGGTATTATGCTAGGTAAAAAGCATTTTTTTTCAATTTAGAAAAACAAGATAGAAGGCCTATTGATCTATACGATGTCGCAATTGTGTGGTCTTTTTTAGGGTTCGGTATCAGTATGATAATGGATTTCTTCCACCTTTTTAGGAATCAGCCAAGATTATTGTTCCCATATAGTAGATTACAGGCGACCTCTATAGCGCATTTTGAAGTTTTCATTTCGTTCGGCCGGAATTAAAGTATAGTTGGCAGTAGGTATAGCTTCAGGCTAAATTAGTGGCAGGAGGAATAAATTCGAGGGGGGGTTTGGCTGGAAGACACTTTTGAGAAGTGCAGCGAATGTTTCACCTCGGTCTTTGTCGCTGTGAGCCCAGCATCCCGAAGAGTTTCTTATCGGGGTGGTCGTTTCAATTGGTGTTGGGCCCCCACAGGGGCCCCCCACTTTTTACTTGGCGAAAGATTCTGGATGTACCTCAGCTGTGCATTTTCTTCCTGTTGGTAAGGAGCCTGGTCGAGTAATCGGGTTGCTTTCTTAAGGCGTTGCTTTGAAGCTGGTGATCTGCTGTTTTGCCAATCACGACGCGTGCGCCTCTTTTCTCGCACGAGCTGTTCGATTTGCTGATTAGATTTGAAGTATTTGTTTCGGTCTACTTCTTTCCCATGAGTAGTAAAGATTTTAGCTGCCGCAACGAGTATTTCTTCCAGGGCGCTCGTAGTGTAGTCGATGTCCGATTCCATGTTAAATTCCGGGGCGAGTTCTATGTGGGCACTCACGTACTTTTTGTATTTTAGCCAGTTCGTTTTTGGCGTCGTCAGGGGTGCCCCTGGCTGAACACCCCTTGGCTGAAGGGGTGTTCGGTTATTTCTGGGCTTTGAAGAAGCGTTAGAAGCACAAGCGAGTGGTCTGATAATAGGTGCGAGACTGCTTTGGCACTTATTAGATTGCGAGGTATGTTTTTTGTCACCGCAAAATCAATAAGGTCTGAGAGCTTTCGTGAGTCTGTTGGCCAGTATGTGGGACTTCCAAGGGAAACGTAGTCCAGTTTATTTTTCACATTTATAATTGCATTGTACAATTGTCTTCCTTTGGGAGTCACTAGACGTGATCCCCAGTGCGTATGTTTGGCGTTGTAGTCTCGTGCGGCTATAAAACGATCCCCAAGTGAATTGTAGAAGTCCATAAATTGTCCTTTCGCGATTGAGAAACGAGGGGGGCAGTAAACGCCAGCTTTATTCTAGTTTATGCCGTGAGATGTCATTGGCGTTCCAAATTAATATTTGTAGAGCATGCGTAGATTATTTAGACTGTTGTGCTACGGGCATCTGTATTACCATGTTCTGGTTTTGAACCAGTGTTTGCATGGTCGTTTTCATGAATGACATAAGCTCCATCATACTATGTTGGAGGGAAGGCATCATGGTTTCTGTTTTTCTTTGTGGCTGTTCAGGCGCCTGTTGAGCGCTTTGTGAATTAGGCTGAATTGGACTCTCCGTTTCAGATCGTAGAGCATAGGCATAGGAGAAGCCGTTGGTGGTGACCGAATGAGGACCTCGCCCCCGCCCCCACTATCCCCATTGTTGGGGTGATTTTTTATTGCGAACTTCATGACGCGGAAGTCGGAGTGAGCAGAGCGGGTTAGCCAGACCGTGCTGTGGGGCTTTCAGCGGTTAGTAGAGCTGAGTTTCTTTTAATTGCCGATTTTTATATTCTATATCGCGGGTTAAAAGTAAGAGTAAGAGCTGTTTCTTTAGTTCACTGAGCTTCTACACTCGTTCTTTTGATCGTTACTGAATATAACTGAACGAACGGAAGCGGCATTCCCGTGTAGTCGTGACGTCTTGCAGGATACCCAGAAAGTGGTGTTTTATAAAGTGCGCATCCTATTCATGACTTTATATAACCCTTAACGAAATTTCGTATTATCGATCACCGATATGTCCACACTTATCATGGCATTCGTTACTTTGAGGTATCTTAGCTGTTTCAGTACAACTTGTTGTCATATTTACGAATTATGCGATCTTGTTCAATCACAAACTCGACGTTCTCAGTTTTCTTCGCACTTTCATATCAGCTACGATGTTCTGAATCTTTACATCTTGTAAATGTATTGCGAATAACCAGTCAGCTAATAAAATAATAATGGTTAATTGTTAATTGTAATAATCTTATCCATTGATGATTTCAAGGCATTACCATCAATAATGACCTGAACATTTTTACCCAAACAGTAGTACTTGAACCGCTGCACGGATAAAACGACAGCTAAAGCTTCTAGCTCGTAACTGTGTTAATTCTTCTCTGACTTCGCTAATGGTCCACTGCAATATGCAATTGGCTTACACTGATCTTCCTCCTTTTGCATAAGTACCGCGGCCTAACCAAATTTTCGAAAATAACCTATGAGTCCTAAAAGTTTACGTACTTCGATACATTAGTTGGTGTTGGGAACATGGGAATGATTCCTTGTTTTCCTTCCTTATTTTCTGATCGTTGTGCATATTATTGAGAAGCTTTAGGGTAACGCTAACGCTTGTAATCTACTATTCTGTTGAATAACTTCTCATGATTCGATGCACCTAAATGCGTCACCTTTGCAGCTTTGCTAGTTTCTGTGATGGCAGGGAAAGTATTGCATTTGTTACAGTGCACTGCAGTGAGGCTTCTGCTCTTTACTTGGGCACAAATTGAAACTTAAAACACTTCTTAACACCCTTTGCTTTGGCTGGCGTAGTGTTGAAGGCTTCACGATGATATTGCTGAATTTATGTACATAATTCTTTTAGTTTGTTATTTCGCGACCCCTGTTTGCAAAATAATAATAAGTTGCTTCATTGATGAAAAATTTATTGCTACAACGTT